GGCAGCGCGAGCAGCGAGCAGGCGCGGCCGCGCGCCGCCTCAGCGCCGTCGCCGGGAAGATCTCCGCGCCGCTACCTCCTCTTCCGTCGCCCTCCTCCCACCCCTGCACCTCCTTCCCCCTCCCCGCTCTGCAGCGAAAAGGAGCTGGCCCCCCCGGCCGCCTCCCTCTCTCCCCGCCCCTGGGGCCGCGCGTCAGTGGGCGGCAGCCGAGGCCACGGCAGACCAGGCTGCGGACGGCGCCCGGGCCCTGCTACGGCGCACGCCGATTGCTGATGCTGCTGCGGCAGCCGCCTCCACCCCGGCGGCTCCAGGGGCTCTCGCCTGCTCGCTTTTTTTTTTTTCCTCCCCAAGTTCTGAATTCGCAATACTTGGGCTGAGCCGGCGAGATCTCGCGAGATGCTGCAGGGCGACTGGGCCGCTTCTCCTCAGGCGCGTGGTACCCGAGGCGTTGCCGGAGTCGCCGACCGCCCCTGGCTCGTGCGGGTGATGCCCAAGGCTTTCCCCTCGGGCCGCAGATGCTTCCGGAGTTGCGGGCGACGTGTGCCCACCCCCGCGAGGTCTGCTCGGAGCTCAAACCCGCCCCGACTCCCCGCACACACTCTAGGCCTGAGCCTAGGGGGAGGCAGGATTTCCTCTGTGCTGTCTTTGAGGCGGTAAACTCACCCGCCTGGCAGGGTTAGATTTGCATAACCAGAGACTAATTCCAGTCGTGATGCAGTGGGTGTGTCCACACTTGCGATGACACCTTTATTTTAAAAGCTATTATGTTTGAAGGTGAGAAGGAGGCTTAGTTGTGATACCTTACTGTTTCAAGGCGATTTTTAACTTGAGGCATTTCCAGAAATGATGGGAAGCTCAGCTAAGAATGAATGCACTGAGAGCAGTAACTAACACTGGAGCACTAATCGGGAATTTCGTCATGATTTTGGTTGTGAAGAATTCCTCTGTTTTAATTAAAACAGAAAGACACTCCTCTCTTCTGCAGGCCTATGTTCTCTTCTGTAAAATGAAGGGGAGTTTAATTTTGCAGCTTTCTTAGCAGCAGAATCCATTTTTAAGCTAAATTCTACCCACAGCCCTACATAAAAACACACAACAACGAGGAAGCCCTTCTTCCATCACATCATTTGTCTTTTATTTATGTACTTATATTTATGTATTTTAAAATTTTATTTGTGAGGGTAAACATCTTTGCTGAATCCTCGAAAAATGATCAAAGAGCCTCCGAGTTTGCAGAACTGTTTGGAAATACTATGAAGAAAGCTGCAACCAGCCAGTTTTCAAAAAAATTGTCATGATGTTGTTTGACTTTCACAACTTTTCATCACAGTTTATTATCTGTATTGTAGAGATGGAGAGAGGAAGGAACAGCTCTTGGATCATGTAGCCACAGTTTTTAAAGCCCCTTTTGAGCTTTAGTAGTATTAGAGGAAACCAGAAGAGGCCGGAAAATCAGGTGGTGCTTTAAGCAGTGGTTTCTACTAGGGGATTGCCGCCTTAGTAGCTGATCTATGTGGTACCAAAGCTAATTCAGTGGCTGTTGGAATTCAATATTCGCTGAACTGAACAAATATTAAGCACCTACTATAAGGTGCTGTGTGTTCTGGGGACATAGCAAGTTAGCAAACCAGACAATCCTTTCTCTCATGGAGCTCATAGGCTAGAGAGAGAGAGAGGCAATAAATAAGATAGATAAAATATATAGTATGCTAGTAGTGAGTGCTAAGGAAAGGGGTATAGGATATGTGTGTGAGATGAAAGTGGTAAAATTTTTCATAGGATGGCCCCAAAGAGAAGGTGACATTTGAGTGAGAAAGTGAGTGATGCAAATATTTGAGAAAAGAACGTTGCAAGCAGAGGAAAAGCCAAGGCCCAAAAGTGAGCATGACTGACATGTTCATGGAATTGTACTTAGGCCATTGTGGCTGAAGCTGCTTAAGGGATGGGGAGAATCAAAGGTGATTAGGTCAGAGAGTTTAGGGGTTGGGGGCATGGTAGAGTAGAATGTGTAGGACCTCTTTGGCTATTGGGAGAACTTTGGCTGTTGCTCTGAGGGGGGTGATATATTAGTCAGCTTGGGCTGCCATAACAAAATACCATAGACTGAGTGGCTTTAAGAATAGAAATTTATGTTCTTACAGTTCTAGAGGCTGGAAAGTCTAAGATCAGAGTGCCATCATGGTCAGATTCTGGTAAGGGCTCTCTTCCTGGCTTTCAGTCAGCCTCCTCACTGTGTCCTCACATGGTGGAGAGAGAACTCTGATGTCTTTTCTTCTTGTCAGGGCACCAGTTCTATCGGATGAGAGTACCACCCTTATGACCTCTTATAATCTTAATCACTTCCTTAAAAGCACTATCTCCAATACAGTCACATGGGTTAGGGCTTCAACATATGGATTTTGGGGGGACACAATTCAGCCTCTAGCAGATAGCAAGTTATTGGAGGGTCTGAGTAGAGGAATGACATGATTTGACATATATTTAAAGAATCAATCTAGCTACCTTGTAAACATACAAGTGGGTAAGTGGTGGGGACAGAAAGAAGCAAGGAAATGTTTTAAGAGGTATTGCAACAATCCAGGAAGTGATGATGTGGCTTCGACCATGATGGGTAGTGGTGGAAATGGGAAAGTGGTTGAATTCTGGGGAGGCAATAGAATTTGCTGATGGATGTGGAGTGGGAAAGAAAATCCAAGGGTTTTGGCCTGAGCAGCTGGAAGAATGGTGTTGATATTTTCTGAGATTGAGGAGATGCTGAATAGAGCAGGCTTGGGTGGGAGGAATATGAGGAGCTCAGTCTGAGCTGTCTATTGGAGCAAACAAATAAATGTATAGTAATAATAAATAGTAGTCACTCATATAAATTTCTGATTGCAAACTGAGAAGCTCTAGGACAGAGAGGAATGTGGTACAATGAGAATGCAAAATCGAGGGACCAGGCTTAGGAAGGAAGTGACTTTTCAACTGAGGTCTGAAGGATGATTAGAATTAAACTATAACTTGCAAGGGGGGTTCTAAAACGGGAAATATTGTGGACAAAAGCCCTCATGGAGTGAACATGGCCTAGCTAAGGAGTTCCAAGCCACTTTGGTTAAAGCATAGAGATTAAGGGGCAAGAGTGGTAAGAAATGAGTCTGTCTATTCTAAAAGCCCTGTAAAACCATTAATGGGTTTCCAGGGAAATAGAGGGGCACATGATCAAATTTACATTTATTAAGAGTCTCTCTTGTTAGTTATATTGTGGACAGAAGATTGGAAAGGAACAAGCATGGGAGGACAGGATACAATTTCAGTAATCTAGGCATGAGATGATAGTAGTAATAGTAGCTAACATTTATGGGGAATTTATGTCGTGGATATTGTGCTAAACTCTACATTCATAATCTTAATTCTTACAACAACACTATGAAGAAAATCATAGTATTACCCCCATTTTACAGATGTAAAACATGGTTAAAGTAACTTGTCTGAGGTCACTCAGCCAAAACCAAAGGTCACTCAGCTAAAACCAAGATTGGAATCCGGGGAGATTTCTCCACTAATCAAGCTATAGGAGTTTCAATTATGGGGGATGCAGGGGAGTTGAGGAAGGGGAAGAATTTGAGAGGTACTTAAGAGGTAACTCAAAGGACCTGGAAATGTCTTAAAAGAATGATGGAGAATAAGGGATAACTTGAGTTTTCTAACTTCTTCACCTGGGGTTAGATGATGGTGACGTTAGTGAGAAAAAGAACATTCTAAAACTAGGTTTGGAGACGAATATGAGAAATTTGGTCTTGGCCATATTAGGCTTGAGACATCTGAATGAATTCAAGAAAGTATTTGGCTACATGGGTCTTGTGCTCAAAGGAGAAGTTTGTACGAGAGAGTACAAATGTGGGGGTCCTCTGCGAACAGATGATAACTGACACCATGGACGTGAATAAGATCACTCAGGGAGATGGGATAGAGCAGCACTGTACAATAGAACTTTCTGTGATGATGGAAATGTTCTATATCGTGCTGTCCAATATGGTATCCATGAGTCACTTCCAGCTATGGAGCACATGAAGTGCCTACTGCAACCAAGGAACTGAATTTTTTATTTTATTAAGTTAAGTTTATTAAATAGTCACATGGACTAATGACTATAATATTGAACAGCATAGGTTCAATAAACAGCACAGAGTTCAAAAGAAGGCCTAGGGTCCAGCCTTGTGTAATCTAAACATTTAATGACTAGGTTAAAGGAGGAGTGGCTGAGAGGTGAAAAGAAAACCAGATGAATGCATTTTGAAGTAGGATCAGTTGTGTTAAATTGGGCCAAGAGGTGGAGAAAGATGAGGGGTGAATATATATTGAATTTAGTA